AGGGGCTGTGGGCACCTGCTGAGACTCAGACCCCTTGTTCCCAGAGTCAGGAGTTCAGACACCCCAGGTCACTCTGCTTTAGTGATTCTTGATTAGAAAACAAGACAGTGTTGATTCTACAGCTCCAGAAGCAAGGACAGAAGAACCCTCCTCCTCCTCCTCCTCCTCCGGGTTCCTGTCTCTGCCTTGTCACTGCTGCAATGAATTAGTAAATATTCCTCTCTGCAACCTGTGGCCAGGTGGGCTCAGACCTCCTCAGGTTTGCCACAAACAAAGTACAGGTTCAAAATCAGCTTTTCCAAGCCTGTCCCTGTTGGATTGTCACCCCGAGCAGCTGATGGCCTGATCCTGCTCAGCTGTTAGTGCTGCTGGCACACACGGGTCTGTGCTGGATGTGGTGTTGAGGTGGGGAGATTCCTGGTTGCTGATTCTCACTGTGCTGAGAGCGAGAACAGAGCTGGGGTTTGGGTTCAGTGTGGGCTTTGGGATGAGAACATTGACAACACACTGATGTTTTCCATTGCTGCTGGAAGACGAAGGACTTCCCAATTTTCCTGTGTGTTGCTGGTCTGCAGGTGCAAAGGACAGGGGTGAGGGCAATATTGAAATGAGCAGATCCAAACTGGCATTTGGGTGTGCTGATGGGATGTTCCATATTGTATAATGTCATGTTCTCATGTTCTCAGGCTCTTGTTCTCCTGAAATTGTGGTTTCAGTTCTGGGGTTGTAATTATACAGGAATGGGCCAGGTTCAGTTGATGGGTGGTGAGCGATTCCACCGGGCATCACTTCTTTGTGTATTTTATTATTACCATTATTATTGTTGTCATTATTATAAGTTTTATTTTGATTTCAATTATTAAATTGTTCTTATCTCAACCTACAAGCCTCCTTACCCTTACCCCTCCAATTCTGCTCCCTGGGTGAGGGTAGAGTGAGCAAGCAGCTCTTTGGTGTTTGGCTGCTGGGTGTGTTAAACCTCCACAGTCCCTTTGATCTGGAGCAGGACCTGCTGAAATCCCAGGGGCTCTGCAGGCAGCAGCGTCTGGTGATGGGGACACTGGGGACACAGGGCAGCGGCTGCAGGGTGGGATGTTCCCAAACCAGGCAGTTGAACACCCAGCAGCTCATTTGGGGATTTTTCAGCAGAAGATCTGGCCGGTGCTGCGATCTGCTGGTGGGGAGAGGCACTGGCCACGGCTCCACGCAGGGGCTGCCCCAACCAAGGTGTTTAATTACACTCAGTTTGTTTTAAAGACTTTACAAAACCTCTAAGATATGAGCAGCCCTTGGCTGGACTAGAAATGTGGAGCCTTGGAGCAGTAAACTGCGGGGTTGGAAGCTTTTATGTCCGTGGTCTTCTCATCTGCATGTGAAAGACTCCAAGAAAATCTGTGTTTTGCCACCATCTCTGAGTGAGCTTCTTTGTGAATCATTTAGTTGGGGGTGAAATGGCCAAAAACAAACAAAACAAAAAGTTTTGTTCTGTTTTTCGCTAATTTCTGTACAGGAAAACTTGTACAGATTGGTCCTGGAGTCAAAGTAGGAGAGCAGCCAATTTAAATAGGATTTTACAAGTAATTAGAGTTGAAAAAGGGGGGAAAATTGAGACTGCCCAGCAAGAACTTGAATCCACAGTTCAAATTGGATGTGCAGGTTAAACTTGGATAAATAGAAAATAAGAAAAACACCACAAAGCTTTCCTAGTGTTGTTTCCACAGCCCGGCCTCTGCTCGGACACCAGTGACTGAGGGTGGTCAGACACTGTCCCAGGTTGGCCAGAGAAGCTGTGGCTGCTCCTCCCTGGAAGTGTTCAATGCCAGGCTGGATGAGGCTTTGAGCAACCTGGTCTAGTGGAAGGTGTCCCTGCTGCTGGCAGGGGGGTTGGAACTGGATGAGCTTGAAGGTCCCTTCCAACCCAAACCATTCTATGACTGTTTCCAGCTTAGGGAAAGCCCCAGCTGAGGTTTTATTTGTGTGACTCGTGCATAGACTGATTATTCACATTGTACCAGGAAAACATGTCCCTTGGTAAGTAATGGAAACTATTGACTGCTGGCAAAGAGCTGGAGTTTGGAGGAAAACCATCGATAGTAATGGAATTGTTGGATGTATCAGCGAGCACGGAACAGGGATCGATTCCCTCGGGCTGTGTTGGTTTTAGCTGAGCCATCCATCCTGCCACGATGGCTCTCGAGCTGCAGGGACCCAACTCCATTTCCAAACACACCACGGGTCTCCAGCGCTGTGGCAGTGACCCTTTGGTTAGTGGCACCTGATGTTCTGCTTCTCGTGAAGCCTCACACGCAGCTCCATGAAAGCTCACACAATGTGAATCCACACTGCAGCTTCAGCTGAGCTGCTGAATGCATGGCTTGGCTGGAGTTCCTCGAGCTTATTGCACTGCCATTTCTTTTCCACTTCAAGAAACCCTCTCCAGGGTTTCACTGAGCTTGTTTACCTTATCAAAAATCAAACAATCACAGACTAACTGTCCTCCTGTCCGTGACGTTCTTGCTTTGACAGGGTTTGGTGAACCAGGCTGGCTCTGCAAGTCATCCGTGTGCTTTGAAACAGGGAGACTTTTCCCTCGCACAGCGCTTCCCACTTACCTTGAATTCAGGAATTCCATCTCACTATTCACATGCTTTAACCAAAATACAGACATTTCTTGCATTCTTTTACTTCTGCACACTCATCTCAGTGCTCAAAACCTGTGACATTCTCAGCTCTTCACGGGGCAAAACGCCTTCCTAGGGGAAGTGTGCTGTGATGTTGGGTCACAGTTCTGATCAAGTAACAGTGACTATCAGAGTTACTAAGGAGACCAGGCTCCTGTTAAACAGACGAGTAGCCAAAGGCTGGTCTGTCTCAGTCCACACAGCAGTGGCTACCAGCAACATCTCATCTGTGCCACACAAAGGCAGGAGTGATGCTTGAGCAACGGGGTCGCTTTATTGAAATAACATTTGTTCTCATTTACTAACCAGCAATTAAATACAAACATTCAGCGTGGCACACTGGCTGTCCTAGCAAGGCAGGGGTGCAGGTACGGGACTAGGAACACAGCACAAGGGTTGTTGTCTTCCACAAGCTGTTTCTGTGTCCTGAAATCACATTTAAAGTGCTGAGAACACCTGACCTTGAGATGACTGGCTTTTATTTGGGTTGGATTGTTCTAAAGGTTGTCTGACCTCTACAAAAGACATTTCATTCTAGGTAGCACCAAGTCTATCTTTAATTTTACACTAAGTATAAATATACATATTAAAAATCCATAATGCAAGTCATTTCAGAGCATTTAAATAGGACAAAGTTAAAAAAATTAACAAATGCTAAAAACAGCTTTTCAGTATCCTCCTCTAGAGTCTACCAAAAAGACAGTCACTACTGGAGTGTGTGAAGAATCGTTCTGTAAAGTACTGTACATCTGAGAACATTTGCTGATGTGTAGTTCTGAGCCTGACAAGGTTTAACCAAGTCTGACATCAGACTTGGGAAATGTGTGTGGGTCCCCAGGTTGCTACCTCACATTTCAGGATACAGTGGGATCCTAAAAATACAAGTCTCTGCCTTCTGTATCAGTGCCTGGCACCTGCTGCAGCTCCTGCTGATGAATGCAATGGCTCAGGCAGTGGAAACTGTCCTCTCCTCTTCACTGTTCTGTGCTTGTCCAGCAAGTTCTTCAGTCTTTCTGAACAGTGATTCCACCACACCACTGAGGAGAGTGCTGCTCCTCCGTTTGCTGTGGTTATTCTCCTTGGTATAAATGTGATAGTGAAATAGAATGGTCAGACAGGTCATTCTGTGTACTAGTTACTGGTTAAACCACGCTAACTAGGATCAAGAGCTTGAGCTTGTAAAGCTGTGGCAGCAGGACAAGCTGCAAGCCCTGGATAGATGGGTATGTTCCTGCAGAGGATTTCAAACTGTAGAACAGGATTTTCTGAAATTCCAGCCTGGTTCCTTCTGCACCCAGACCTTTCTGACAGTGAAAAGCTGCCTTTGTGAAGGTTTGAGAGCACAGACACCTGTGCAGTGACAGCACAGACAGCAGCATTGTCATTAACAAATTTACACTGAGTTAAAACGGTGGGGGTAGGGATCCAGCACAAATTCGAGGCTGGTGCCACCCCTCAGCATGGCTTGGAACAGACAGAGCAGCCCCTCAGGGCTACTGACACCCTTTTGTGTAAAGCAGCCTCCTGGAGAATCCCCCTTCCCTTTGCAGGAGGTGCAGAGATGAAAGCTTTCCTCTCCCAGTGTTGGACGGTCCTTGCTGGTTTCAGGCTAGACTCCGTTGGCGCCGGCCTTGCTGCTCTGAGGTGCTTCCATTTTAGTCTAAGTGTAAGAGAAAGTTGCAGATTTTAGGCAGTACCAATACAAACACTTTTTAAATTCAAAACCTTTTTGAAGAAGGTATCTTCCTATTTACTATGGGAAGCTGCTCTGGAGAATAACAGTTGACTAAGATCAAAGTTCTTCAGGGTAAAGGAGCTCCTGTTGATAAAAGGTCAGTTTGGCCTCCCAAACTGGCCTTAGGTGAGTTGTTTACAAACAGATGAATGTTTACATAAGCAGCTAAACTGAAATAAAACATTCACAGAATGAAAATGGGCAAAAGAAAGGTGTAAGTCACCAGAAGTATTTTTACAGATACAAAATGGCACTTAAAACCACTGTGGCTCTGACAAAAGGCTGGTCTATCTTAATGGTCCAAAGCAGATTATTAAGGAAGAGGACAAGGAAAGGACATACTGGTAAATCCCCACAGTGCTCTGCTACCTCCCCAAGTTTGACTACAGTCTCTGTCACACGTGGTACTTTTGTATTTAACAGCCCTCAATGCAGTTTTCATTCACAATTTCTCCAGTTGCTCCTTGAACTTGACAATCCCAACATCTTGTAGCACATTTCCACAGCTTGTTCTTCACACAACTTGTAATCAATCTCCTTTGGAAAGTCTAAGAATTTAGAAAAGCTTACCTCTCGTAGGGGAGGCTGAACTGACACTTCTGAGACTGGTGATTTCTCTGTTGGCTGAGATACAAATTCTTCATTCTTTAAGGAAAAAGCAGCATTAAGTCACAGAAGTGTCTCAGAAAAAGCTCAAGCTAATCCCTGTACAGTCCCTTCTCCTTTCTGAATAAGGCTGTTCCCTGCCACGTGTGTTTGTGAAAGCTGTGTGTCAGCATTTCCATCATTTCCTCTATGCAATTTAACAGAGCTATTTGGAAATATTTCTAGCAGTTGCAACAATCTTCTCCTTTAATTTCTGTTGCTGCTTGTATCAGCTTGGACTAATCTAATGAATTCACTTCAGCCTTATGCTGAGAACCATATGCTCTGGCTTTCTTAATCTAGATATTTTGGCTCTTTTCATCCTGGACAACTCAGCCCAAGTGGACTAGGAGAGCTGGAAACAAGACACCTTCAGCCAGCTTCTCTGAGCTAAATGCAGTCTCTGTATTTACATGAATAAAGCAACTTAGAAGCTTGAGTGCTCCTCTGCTGGAAGCCAGTAACATGGTATTAAATAACCTGTTTCCAGCAACAGGACAGATGTGCCACAGCAGATCTCTGTACCCTTTCATTACCTCTTCAGTCAGAGAGTGCAACTGTGAGGCTCTGGGGCAAAAAAACATGTACACGATGCAAGAATATACATTGTTTTTTGTCTGGCTTTGGAAAGGTTTGTTCACATGCTCTTCCCAAGAATTACAGCACTAGGCACTCGTTTTCCTACTTGCTGACTGCTGTTTTCTGACCTTTCTTCCCTGTACAAGAGGGGCAGGATCCACCAGGGTCTCTCGACCTTCAGGAACGGGTGTCATGATTTCAGCAGCTTCACCTGTCTACAGGAGAACGTCAGTTCAGTACAGTTATAACTTCAGTCCACTTGAAGGATCAGAGAATTCATGTCACACTGCTTCATTTTTATAATGTGTAATGGTTAAACTATTAACCTGAAAGTTTTATTCAAACAACTCACCTTATTTTGTGGAACTGGAATGGATTGTGGCTTTACATCTATTAAGTACAAGGCACGGGAAAGCAGGAGCAGAGAAGGTGGGACGTTCTCTTTTAAATGCAGATCCAGCCACTGTTAGAAGAAAACAGAAGGACAAGTTATTTCATGTTGGCTCTACATCAGTTCTTCCTTATACAGCATCTTTGTCCTTAAAGATCTTACAGCTATCTTGAGTTTGGCTAATACAGGTGTAAGTTAGCACAGGGAGAAGAAATAGTTTTGAAGAGTTAAGAACACCACATGGAATACACACCAGAGAGGAAGTTTCCAGACACTAGTGAGATACCAACATCACTACTGACAAACAGCCAACAGTGAAAGCAGAGAACTTTGAATTATCTACAGCTTCTCTGAAATACAGCCCCTACAGCAGCATCTGTAACCTGTCTGAATGCTTATAAAAGGCTGGCATTGGCTCTACTACATGTCTGGGCTATTTTAGAAGCTTAAAACATATTCCACCCCCCCACACTTCATCTTGCTTCTAGCTGGCCCTGGTGCTACTTGGTTTCTCTTTAGCCCAAGACATAATCTGGATACTTCATGCCCTAAAGCTCAGCTATGCAGGTGAGGATCCCTCTGGAAATATTTGCACGAATTCTTAGTGAAACTCTGCCTGCTCTATCTGAACACCACACAGCATGCTGTCCTAGGAGAAACCTTGTCAGGACCAGTCCAGAGTGTACTTGCCTGTCGGAGCTGTTCCTTCAGCTGCTCCTCTGAGAGACCCAACGACCGCATTCCCCTGGCTCTGCAGGCACTCTGCAGCTCAGATACACTTAGGCCATTGACTCCCTCCTTGGCAATCATCTGAAATGAACAGGAATGTTCCTACCTAGGCACAGAGTCAGCCAAAACCCTGATGGACTTGATGAGCTTGAGCCCAAAGAAATGTCTGTTTAGGTAAATGCACATAAAGTCATACCAATAAAAAGGTGAGAAGAACTGACTCTGCAGATAATTGTTCTGTCCTTGCAGGCTGACAGACTCCAGCTACAGAGGATGAAAAACTTTGATCCTCACTATTTTGTTTTTCCCCTGAATACTGAGAATGTCACTTTGACAAGTGACCATATGGGTTTGAAGAATTCACTCAAAGGCAGGTGACCCCAGGAACTGTCAGGATTGCAAGACTGTCAAGAGGTGAACCTGTGGTTACTTGCACGTGCCTTTCAGAACTGGTTGTCTCTTACTAGCAAGAAGTTTTCTGGTCTTTCCTCTGTGTCTTAAGAGGATTCTTAATGCCATTTCAAATTACAGTTCCTGGACTATCATAAGATGTAGGCTGGCAGGTGCTTCTGGAGGTCCCCAGTCCAGCCCCCTGTTCAAAAGAGGGTTAACTTAGAATTTGCTCATTTCTTTACATTCTTTTTATGCTTTGAGCCTCCCCCAAGCTTGGGGATTTCACAACCTCCAGACAACCTGTTCCAGTGTTCACCTGCTCACTGATTTTAAGGTTTTTTTCTTATCAAGGTGGAATTTCCCTTGCTGCAACTTATGACCATTACTTGTTGTCTTTTCACTATGCACCTGTAAGTCTGGTTCCATTTTCTAAATAACCCCTTTAGGCAGTTGAAAACAGCAAGCAGATTCTCCCTTGGCCTTCTCCAGGCTAAACAAATCCAGCTACTTTATAAACTAATATGACTCATACTGAATTCAGTTGGTTAAAAGCTGGTGTTTCCATAGAATATTTATTCCAGAATTTCAGCCTCTCTTTTTTTGACAAGTTAGCATGACTCCAGATTAAAAATATAAGGGTGTTCTAAGCAGTGACAATATCTGCAGTGCCACAGAGGCAGCAAGGGTGCAGGAAGATGAATTCTCAGTCTGTTTTTTTCTGGAATCTCTCATGGGGAGAATCTGACTCCCATCAATACTAAACTTCCCATGTGAGGATGGGGTGTGGGCAGTGACACACGCCTCGTGTAAAGCAGGCAGTGATTCAGAGGGCAGAACTTGAGATTGAGAAAAGTGTGTGTTCCATCAAAGCAGTTACATCTGTGCTATTTTAAACTTACTTCATCATCCACCTTGATAGTTCTGAGCCTCAGCAGAAGCTGAAAGCGGAGCAGATTGTTGGTGCCAATGGGCTGCAGCTCAAGCAATTTGCAAAGAGCTACCAACTGCGGCCGTTCCAAGTGTTCCAGGGTCAGCTCATCCTCAAAGAGCTTGGAGAAGCGGACGATCTCCTGGGTACTGGGCTGATGGCCGGTGTGCTGAATCTAAACAAAGCAGAGGCATCAGGGGCCAAAAAACAAACCCAAAGAGAATCAGAGCTTGTGAATCCTCTTCCCACTCTAAGGAAGAAGCCCCTCCTGTTTCTCACATAGGTGTTCTCATCTCATGATGGAAATAGAATGAGATACTGAAAAGGCCAAAGTGAAACAGCGTTTCTGAAGGATTTCATGGGGTAAAACTCCTGCTGTTGTTGCAGGATGGAGATGCCTGTCTGCGCAGAAAGCTCAGGCAGACAGGGTCAAAAGCCGGTGTCAGTAGAGGATCAGGGGATCCAGCCAACGGGAACACCTGGCAGGACAGCTCTGTGCTGTCAAACCTCTCTGCAGTCTTTGCACAAATCCCATGTTCTCTGCCCAAAACAGCAGCACTAGAGCCGGTCTAAATACTGTTGCTGTCACCCCCAGCACAGCCCCTTTACCTGGTGCACATAGGAAGAGAATTGTTTTCCTTGTCCTGTATCTGCTTTGTTCCTTTTGGCCATCTCTGCAATGGTTTCCTGCAGGAACTTTGCTAACTCCAGCTTTGCATTTAATTTCTTTTTCTGTTTTTCTTCCTTCATTTAGGAAATAAAACATAATTAGAAATTCCACTTGAAAAATCAGAAGGAAGGGGATTCTGGGAAAGAGATTAAATAAGACTTCAGTACTGAAAGCAAACAGGCTTTGGTTACTGTAGGAAGTGAAATTGCTGCGTGCTTCCCTGCTGATCCCTGTTCACAGGACAATCTTCAAATCCTGTCAGGAATAAGCCAGGAATGTCTGACCCAGGTGTGTGTGTGGGGCTGACCCTCATTTACAGCAGCAGGGGGGAAGCAGCAGCTCTCTGTGCAGCTGTACAGATGTTCTAACGAGCTGGAGTACACACTCTTCATCTTCAGGAAGGACACCAACCTTTTTTGACTCTGTCTCAAATGTCGAGGGCAGCATTTCAGGAAAGAGTTTCAAGAACACAGGTAACAGAAATTCCATGAAGGGCACAATGACAAACACCAGGAAAGGAACCAGGCGGAAGAGATCTGCGCAGGTTCTCAGCAACTGCACGGAGAAGAGCAGAGCAGAAATTATTCATCAACCAGATTTAAAATGTTCCAAAGAAATGCAGAAACAGAGTGGTTAAACTTCAGTAAACCTCTTAATGCCTCATTTCAGCACAGCATTTGTACATCTGGCACTTACCCTTCGTCTCTCCCTCCTGGTGAGGACCTGACCGTGTAGCAGCCTCCACACCATCCTGGCAGCCACCTTGGTGTCAATCCAGAGCAAGTGGAACCCGTTGTAATAATGTTTCAGTTCATCCACTATTTTTTGGCGCACAGACTTTTTCCCCACTGGAGTCTCCACGACTTGTTTCGTTGGTGTTTTTGGGGGGTCAGGACCCTGGTTCACAGCACTTCGCTGGGGAGGAGGTTGGTGTTGGAGCTCCTGATGCAGGCAGGTGGAGGTGTGAAATGTTCGTGGGATTTTACCTGGTGAGGGAGGTGGGGCAGCACCCAACCGCGTGTGGAGCAGCTGTGGAGGGTTTTCAAAGCCTCTGACACGAGTCCAGTGCAAATGAGAATTCACCAGTTGGACAAAAACAACTGCTGGAGAGTAGGGAGGGTTGGAGTGCACGAGGAGATGGGAGACTCTGAAACTGGAGAGGCGTTTGGGTGAGTAACGGTGCGTTGTGGCTACGCTACCTCAGTGTTACACACAAACTAATGTCACTGGTGCCAAATTAGTCTTGTGAAATGGATCTCGTGGCTGCCTCAGTGAGATTCTGGTTCTTCAGCAATGGATAAAATATTGAGAATTTATCCTATGTTAATAACTTTTTTCTTGGAGGGGGGAAACTAACTCAAGACTTCAGCCGACCTCTAGGAAGCTTCTCTACTACCAGCATCAGCTAAAACTTGTCAGTTGCAAACAAAATAACACCAAAGCCCCTTCCCAAGCGCTCAGAACAGAGTTCTCTGCATTCCCTGCCC